TTTAGCAAGCAAGAGAAAACAAGGAGGCAACTATTTTAATCACACATATTACACTTGTGAAATGGAGGAAGAAATTGATCCATGAACTGTGTACTGTAAAGTTCCTGTCAAGCTCTGACAAAGTCACATACATCAATAGTCTTTTCTGATCCTTACTTTAAGAAACGGCAGACGAATCTCCTGTTCTAAGCGTGTAGATTACTATAGCACTCGTCAGAAATATGACAGGAACACAGCACAAGGCGGGGCCTATAAGGCTGAGGTATTTTTGCAATGATAAACTTCAACCACTGACTCTTCACAGCCTTATCTTTGGGCAGGGAAAATAACACTAACTTTCCCTCACACTTTAGAGCTCAGCGTGATCTTGATTCATCCGGGATCTACTACATTGTTTGTCTTCTTCTTTTTCTTTCTACAGTGTTTGTAGGCGGGGACAGGGGTTCCAATTTTCCCAGGTCTGTGTGCACAACAAATGGGTGGGGCTTAAGTTCTGCATTGATGTCACACCGACTAGGCTAAAGATTTGTTATAGCAGCAACTAATTTAAACCACTCTGAGTCGACTCTTTTATAGTTGAATCAATAGTTTTAAACACGGCACACTTTCAGATTTAAGTCTTAGCTGGATTTTTCACTTCACTTAGAGCTGAGTTGGAAGGTAATTTTCAAAAACCCATAATAGGGATTCTTTAAATTGTAAATAAATATGTGTTTTTGAAACTAATTAAGGCAGCCTAAGTTGATGATTCATTTGAACTATTTAGCCTGACATGTTTACTGTTCCTAAATGTTACAATTGATTCTCAAAATAAAACATATTGTGTTCAAAGGGGAAAATTTGCAGTTTTTTACCTAGACATTTTAAAAGAACATATTTTTGAGCAGTAATCACAATACCGTGAAACCGTGATATTTTTATCCAAGGCTATCATAACGTCAGAATCTTATACCGGCACATGCTTACTCATGAACACATTAACCAAGACAGCTATAAAAACGAATCTATTTAAAGACTATTTTGTTCATTTGACTCTCTCTCTCTAATCTCTCTCTCTCTCTCTAATGGATTGGATTAATGGCTTGTCTATCTCTTTTTGAACAGTAAATTATGCTCAGACAGGCATCTCATGTCTAAAGATGCATAAACACAAATAGAACATTGCTGCATTTGCAAGTAAATCATATAAAGCAGATTCTCTGGTGGGGCAGAAAAAATGATAATAAAGAGAAGCAAAATGATATTAGCGAAAAGACAGTTCCATGCCAAGTTATGCTCTCTATAAAGGTCTATTCTAGGTTTATTCTATAAAGGTCTGCTACCTTTTTATCCAAACATAAAATAAAATATCGTTATTGAAAGCTATTTGTCCTCAGAAAATGACAGTTGGTCAAGATAACAAATGCTTTTATTTGTAACATTTTCTTACTGTTAAAGGTTGTCAACTGAATAAAATTGTTGATTATATCTCAATACTTAATCAGGATTCATGAAGCAAAATGCCACTATGAAAATGTAAACACGGCTAATTGTGCAAAATTATTGCTTTACTTCATTGTTACTGATGAATATTCAGGAATTATTTTCTCTCATAAACAGATTAACCAAGACAGCTGTAAAAGCAAATTGATTAAAACACCATTTTGTTCAGTTTTCTCTCTCCATAATGGATAGGATAAATGGCTTGTATCTCCATTTGAACGGTAAATTATGCTCAGACAGGCATTGCATGTCTGAAGATGCAAAGACACAAACAGAACATTGCTGCATTTGCAAGTAAATCATATACAGCAGTTTCTCTGGTGAGGCAGAATAAAATAATAAAGAGAAGCAAAATGATATTAGCGAAAGGACAGTTCAAAGGCAAAGTTATGCTCTCATATTTACAGTTGCAAGTGGCTAAAAGAAGTAGAGAAATGCAAATGTTGTGGCAGTGAAGAATCACAGTGTAATTTGCTAGCCTAAATCAATGAAGGTTTGTACGCAATCAGCCGGCTGCATTAAAGCAAGTGATTATCTATAATAGGGTCTTGGATCCCAAAAGCCATCTTTATAAAGCTTATGCGATCACATCCAAAGCAAACACTAATAACTGTACCTCGAATGGGCCATAAATTTTTAAAGGGTGAACTCAGCTTGTACTGGGCCAGATATTTTACAACTATCACTCGGCCAGGTATTGAAGATCTCTAACCTGCGGTATTAACAAGGACCTTATCAACATCAATTACATTCTCCAGCATGCCAGCGGGGAGAGAGCGAAATACAAAGAGGATGGAGGAATACACTTTAAGACTGATACGAGACGAGCTGGAGCAAGAAGGTTTTAATGTCTTCTATAAATCAGATTACACACTCGGTTAGAAACGGAAAGAAAAAGAGAGGCGTGTTTTTGCAATGGCCACAGTTCAGTAATCTGCAGTGCTGAGCACCAGCTTGCTAATGAGAAGAAAACCACAAACAGAATATGCAAGCCAAGCTCTGAAACGAGAGGTTATATTTAGACGGTTAGGAGAGACTGCATTAACAGCCTCACACTCCTCTCGCAATATCTATTCCTCATCTGAGGAGGATTTACTCTAGTGTGCTTATAAGAGATGGTGTTCTGTTTATAGACAACCAAAGACACGACTGATCCAAGCTACAGTTCCAGAACAATGATTTAATAAAAATCTCTGAATGCTGTTTTTATGGGATTTTCTATTGACAAAACTAGAACAAGTGGATTTTTTAAGGGGCAAGTGAAGGATATTTTTCCTGACTGAGAGGACAAACAGCCTGCAATGAGAAGTAAAAAAAAAAATTCCGCAAGTATAATTTAGATTTTATTATATTCAGTGTAAATGGCGACTGATAATGAATAATGTATTGGCAGTAACAAGGTCGCATCAGTTGAAGCTCACACAGCCTGTTTTGTTTGAGGCAAAGACTTGTGGAGAAATCACAAAACAAACACAACCAAGTGTTATAAAAAATGTGAAAGTTTGTGAAGATTAAGTATAATAAGCAATGCCACACGAGAGACCTTCTTTGTTGAATTCTTGAATTACACATTGATTTTATACAACTGTTTAATGTACAAGTAGTTATTATTAAGAGACCCACATTTAAAAAATTTGTTACAAACAAAAATCACACCAAATGCATCATGCATCTCCACATGATTTAGTGTTTATATATACAGTTGAATTATTAGCCCCCATTTGAATGTATTTTTTAAATACTTCCCAAATTATATTTAACAGAGCAAAGAAATTTTCACAGTATGTCTGACAGTATTTTTTCTTCTGGAGAAAGTCTTATTTGTTTTATTTTGACTATATAAAAGCAGTTTTTAATTGTTTTAAAAGACATTTTAAGATCATTATTATTAGCCCCTTTACGCTATATTTTGTTTTGATAGTCTACACAGAACAAACAATCTGTATACAATAACTTGACTAATTACCCTAACCTGCCTAATTAACCTAGTTAAGCCTTTAAATGTCACTTTAAGCTGTATTGAAGTGTCTTGAAAAAATATCTAGTAAAATATTATTCACTGTCATCATGGCAAAGTTCAAATAAATCAGTTGAGTAATGATCAAATGAGTATTAAAACTATTATGTTTAGACATAAGTTGAGAAAATATTCACTCCGTTAAACAGAAATTGGGAAAAAAATAAACAGAGGGGCTAATAATTCTGGGGGGCTATATCGGATGATTCAATGATTTAAACAATAATTTAGGGATTTGCTCATTCTTGAATGAATCAGCCATTTGAATGAAATGCTTAAATAAATGACTCAAAAATTGGCTCAACAAGACTTTTCAGCTCCAACTAGGGATTTAGTTGTATGCGTCAAAGCATCACTGCATTTCATACAGTATGTCCAACATGAGTGAAATGGTCATCAGCTACATCTGTGTGATTACTTTGTGATTGTTTTCAAGAATGTCGATAGATAGATTAACCACCTAAGAACCATCTTGTATTTAGTTGATAAAAACATTGAAAATATAATTTAGAATAATTTCGTAATGTACATGGTATTCAATAACTGTGAAAAGATATCAGAATGTCATTTAATTTCTGTGCTGGAAAAGTGATTACCTATTTACTTAAAAGTGAGAAAACCCAGTGCCTTAAAAATGTCAAGTTTAGTTTACTTAAAAAAAAAAAGTGAGCTTAACTCAATTTCATCATTTACTTAATTTTTTTAAAGGGATAACTCACTAAAAAATGAACCCTCTGGCATCGTTTATTTATTCTTTAATTGTTACAAACTTTTTTCTTCATAACTTTCTTTCTTCTTTCAAACACAAAATATATTTTAAAGAAATAACCAACCTGTAACCATTTACTTCCTTAGAAGAAAAAACTAATACTATGAAAGTCAATGATTACAGGTTTTCAGCTTTCTTCAAAATATCTACTTTAGTGTTTAACATAATAAAGAAACTCCGAAAAGTTTGAAACCACTTAAGGGTGAGTAATAGTAAGTATATTTATATTTTTTGGGTGAACTATTCTTTAAAGGCAACAGGTTTACACACTCTTTTGTAGTCGAATCCTCATACTACAGTCTCAGAAATAAAGGTATGCGAGCTGTCACTGGGGTGGTACCCTTTCAAAAGGTACAGATTTGTACTTAAAAGGTCCATATTAATATCACAAAGGTGCATATTAGTGCCTAAAACGTACAAAAGTGTTCCTCTTTTAGGCAATAATATAAATGTATGAATTCCCAATATGGCCCATTAAGTACAAATGTGTACCTTTTGAAAACCCCAGTGACAGCTCGCATACCTTTATTTCTAAAAGTGTACTACCTTTTACAGTGTGTGTTAATTAAAACTGCCCTTCAAGGCAAAAAAATCCCTATACCTTAATAAAAAAAATTATCACAAATATACTTACGTAAAAACATGTTTTACTTAGATAAGTGTACAACTGATTTACTTCACAAACATGTCAAGGTTTAATGTCAAGCCCTGTTTTAGTTTTTGCACACTAACCTTCTTGGTGAAGTCCATGGCTTTGAGAATGGCCAGGTTGAGTGTCTCTAAGGAGGCCAGCACTCCTTCATAATCCCCCATGTGGTTGGCAAAGTAGTCTGATAAACAGAAATGAAAAAGGACATTATCAAGCAATATAAATTCTGCGATTTCACAAGCTTTGAAAACTGAAAATATGGAAGTTATACTGGCAAAAAAAAAAGCTCCAACAGAAAAATCAAATCCTCCCCAAAAAGCCTGGTACAAACATCAGTACAGAAAAGACAAAATCTATAAAAAAAAATAAAAATAAAAAAAAACATCCTGTAAAACAAGTGAACAGATATTTTTTTCTGATACTCACCGCACAGTTCCTTGGTGTCAACATTACTAACACATCACAGGAAATGGACAGCGTACAGAAAGACAGGAAAGAAGAGGCAGGAGAAGAAAGGCATAAGAAACAAGGGAAAACCCATCACAACTCACACATTACATCTGTGTCTTACAACAGCGTGCATACAGGATCTCTGTCTTATCATCTATTTACATGGATCCTCAAGACAATACAAAATAAACCTTTAGAAATTGTGCTATGTGAACCAGAACCACAGAATCCCTCAAAGCCATCAGCTTCAAGAACATTAATAAATCAGCCTGTTTAACATTGATCTGGTCTTCATGAATGAAAAGAAGCATATACGGGTTATTTTAAAGTGATTTCTGATGTATAGTTTGCTCAGAGATGAAAATCTTGTCATTTATGTATTACAAACTACACTCAAAAACTGATTTTTGCTGATTGTTCAAATTACTTATTTAAAATGAGCTAAAACAACCAAATTCTGGAGATTTTTTGGGAAACTTAATAGTTTTATGTTTAATCCACTTACATTTGTTACATTAACTTAATCGATTTGTGTTGTGACAACATGAATGAATTGTGCTGAAATCTATTTAAGATAATTTGAACAATATTGGAAACTGGTAGCCATCAACGACTATAGCATATCCATGAAAGCCAATGGTTTCCAACATTATTCAAAAAATCTTATTTTGTAATCAAATAAAATAAAAAAACTCTAAAATTTTTATAATCACTTGAGGATGAGTAAATGGTGCATGAATTTAGCTTTGTGCATGAACTATTCATTTAAAAATCAACATTTTTTTCCAAACATGATCTCAAATATGAGCTCAAGTGTTATAATATGATAATGTGCTTTGTAATTTGCACTGCTGCCAGTTCTTTTGATATAAATTTTCATATTTTTCAGTTTACATCTATCAAGTTTTAGCATATAATGTTAGCTCCTCCTGTTGCCCTTTCAGAGATTTGTCCCATCTTTCTCCATCTCTTTCTGCTCTTGCACTTTTCAGCTCTTTATGCTTTCCCTCACTTGGTAAAATGAAGGTGTCATCAGCAGAGGGAGGCACAAAGAAAATATACAGTACAGAATGACATTTACAGGCGAACGATGGGCACAGAGAGTGAACATGGCTAACAATCCAGCCTTTTTTTGAATGGCACTGAGCTCTTAGTGCTTGTCCTGTCAAATAAAGAGTACAGTATGTCCATCTTAGAAGAGGACAGAAGAGATGAGTAGAATTGTTGTGTATAATACTAGTCTTTTTGTTTGTGGTATATCCCATCTATATCCATTAACACTGTGCTAAATAAGCTATAAGCTTATACACCCCTCACAAATCTATCTTTTAAATTCACACTTTAATAGGAAGCTATATACAATATTATATTTGTGGATACATTAGATTAGTCAGTACTGAAGCCAAATCTGGAGCTTATCTAACAAAATAACTGATGATTATGGTCAAAAAACTAGTACAGCCAAATATATTATAGATAATATAATAATATATATGTTAGAAAAATATTAAATACAAATTTAAAAAGAGGAAAAATCAAGAGAAGCAAAAAAAAAAAAAGTGAAAAATTTTGTTGAAAATTTGTAGGTTGTTTTTTTTTTTTTTTTGCAATTTTTTGCTTGAATTTAATTGTATTATCTTTCAATTTTTAAATATGTTTGGCGACTAAAACATAATTTTGATAAATATATCTGTTAAATAAATCTGTTTAGTTTAAATACACCAAAATACATTGCCTATATTCACTGAGAAATGTTTAAAATATCTATTTTCAAATGGGGTGCACTCAATTATGCGGAGCAGCGAGCACTAGCTAAAAAAGCTATACACGCAATAAGATCATCTTCATAAGTGCCTTTATTTCTAACATTTCATTTTGTGGGGTGGATTATTCATCTAACAATTATCCTTTGGCTTAAAAAAATAGCATATCGTCACATTTGAAATACTTTTAATATTGAGAAAATGCACTTATTCCATTGTTGCACCCCCAATATTTAAAAGACGTTCGATATATATACAATTTAAATCAACATTATACAATATAATATAAAATAGACTTTGTTTGGTATAATGTCTTAATTTAGCTTTGATTAATGTATATTAAAAATTTAGTTCATTTAAAGTTATCTTGTTACCTCAGGTAAAATACTCTGCTTTCTATAAGCAACAAAGCTTCACTGAATACGTCTAATGTAAAACAACTAAAATCTAAAGTAAAACTAACTAGATTATTCTAATTTATCCAAACAAACAAAGCCAAATCAAACATCCAAGAAAGTACACACTTAGACAATAATGACAGTGCACTAAACATGAATTAACTAACATATTTTAGCCATTAAATTGTTTGGTAGTAATTTCTGTTAAGGCATTAAATTCACCAAAAAAAGTTCACAGTCATGCTTGCACCTCTTAATTCATTATCAAGGGCACAGCTGAGATAATTGACCGTAATTAACATTATTACCTACTGGTATTCATTTGAATAATACTGTTATTACTTTTACACAATCAACATGTCTTTTTCCCATGATATATTTTTTTTCTAGTTGAATATCATTATCTATAAAGAAACAAGAAAAATTAAGAAATACAATGATTTGCAAACAGAAATAAAATTTAACTTAATTAACATTGATTTAATAAGCAATTATGGATGGCTTGATATTTGACCAATTATATTATAAAGTAAACAAGTTTACTTGACTGGAGGATAAATAACTAAAATATAGATTTCTATGATATCTGCATGTGGTTAGAATGCTGCTGTAGTAATGTTTGTAAACATCAGCGTGACATTCACATAAATGGAGGACAGAAGAGAAAACATGACTGTCTAAATGAAATGGTGTAAATGAGCAACATGCACAATCTATTGTTCTGTACTCATTGTGATGAGTGCTTATGTAAGAGGAATAAAATATGCCCATGAGTGCAATCTAAACAAGTACAAGGACACATTCATCTCATAACTTTGGGATAGAAAAAGCACAGACACTTGACAAGGATGAATCTTTCTAGCTTCATGCAGTTTATCAAATGATGTATACTTTAATTTAAGAATGTGCACATTTGTTAACATACACATAAAATACTTTGGGCGTTAATAAGCTTAGCTTTAGCTTGTCATAGTCTCAACTGAAAAAAAAACTGGTTTGTGAGGCACTTTTTGGAGCTGCTTTGACCTAATGGTTAGTGAGTTTGATTGTGATTCAAAGTTCGCAGATTCGCATCCAGGTACTGTAAGGCCGTACTCACACTATGTACAGTTGCCTCGAACTGGGCCAAAGCACGCTTGTACCCCCTCCCGACGGCCAGCACTCACACTACAATCGGGCCTGGGCACGCTTACGTCATCGTTGCTGCACTGTTCAGTAAGCGCTCTCGCTCAGCACAGTGGAGAGTTCTCCAGTTATAACATTTCAGTCGTTTGATATGCAGTGACATGCAGTCAAATATTTCGCCAAACAGTCCTTAGGGATGCGGTGATACTGGTCTGCTGAAGGTGCACAGCTGTGGTGCAGTGAGGGGTTTGCGTCTTTAATAATTTAGGGCAGTTTGTGTTCATTGAACAGTAAGAATGATTAATAAATCCATATGAAACAGTCCCTTAAAGTCACGTCTCGCTTTCAGTTTTGGGCTTTGGCGCGTTTAGCACTCACACTACAAACGTATTGCCCAAGTGAACCACGCTCAGGCCCACCTCTTTCAACCGGGCCAGGACAAGCCAAGTAAACCGTGCCTGAGTCCGATTCAGCGCACTCTCAAACGATCCGGGAAACGGGCCTGGGCACGGTTCGGATAGCATAGTGTGAGTAGGCCCTAAGTGGGGTGAGTGAATAACCAGCACTCTCTTATGCTGGGTTCACACCAAATGAAAAACACTGTGTCACTTGCTCTAGTTTACTCACAGGATGTTTTTCACCTCAAGAGAATTTTCTGCTAAAGTTGAATTATTTAGCTAATTCCGTGTCATTTTCACTACAAGAAAACTAAATAAATTTGTATTTGCGTGCTTGCATTTATGTTATACAATATGTGATATGTAACCTACCTACTATAACAACACTTAAAGGTCCCATGGAATTAAAATAAGGTTTTTAGATGTTAGTATCAGTATTATTAATTTCTTAGAATATCTAAAAGCTAGCTAGTGTGCTCTAAAATAGTGACAAAATTCACATTCAAAAGATATAAAACTGATATAAACATGTAAAGCTTGTAGTTTGTAACTTTTGCCTAAATGAAACAATAGTTTTATTCACATCACCACATACTTTAGTTTCTCATCACATCATAACCAGTCCAATGCTCGCTAGTATCTGACATGCCCCGCCCCCTTCATGACGCTTCTTATTTGCTTTTCATTTGATGCACTGGAGCTCAACCACTCTCACTGGCAGAGCAGTGATAAAACAATGGCTGTTTTTGGGGGGAGGAGCTACACAATGTCCCACCCTCTCATTGTGTTCAAGTTAAAATTACATCAAACATCGAATAAAAATGCATATTTTGAATTACTTCACAGGCCCTTTGATTCTGATTTTGGTGTAAACCAAGCATTACACCCTCAGCACCACTGCTGAGATGAGACCCATGGGCAAAGCACCAAATCCCAAACTGCTTCCTGAGTAGGCCACCGCTCCGAGTGTTTAATCACAGTCTGTACGAATCGCCTTGAAAAACACTTAATGTGATGTTAGTGTCATGTGAGGGACGCTGACAACAAAGTTGCGGACCCAAATTCAGGATTTATTAAGAGATATCAGAAAGGCAATGATCATCGGTTACAAAAAAATCCAAAAGAATGATTAAGAGAAAAGTGATCGATCCGGGCAGCAAACAACGTAAAACAAACAAACAAAGCAAAGGTCAATACACAGGAAGGCAAAACGCACTAAAGTGTGTGTGCTGTTTATGAAGTCCATCTAATCAGTTCATGAGAAGCTCCCAGCCGTGTATGTGTGTGTGTGTGTGTGCGTGCGTGTAATCAACAAAGA